GTAGCGCTCTATGTGGGATCCCTGCACTCCTTCCATCTCCCACCAGATGGCGCACTTGTATCCTCATCAGGTCCACTGCGCCTCACCCACGTGCTGCTCACATGTAGCGGAGGACACCGGAAGTAAAAAGCTCTCTGGGAAATGTAGTTTGCCGGTGATTTTAGATTCCGGGCAGTCAGGTGAGGTGGACAGCGGAGGAGCAAGTCGGGCTATATCTGTCTTTTGTTATGTTGTGGGAGGATCTCAGTATATATGGTCTGCTGTTATGAGTGTCCCATTTGTAGTACTTCCTGTACACCGCAGAGTGACTACGAGCCTCCATCAGGGTCACTTCGGGATTACTGCACGTGCTGCATAGCTGCAGGCGGCCGGTGACGATTGTAGAATGCGGACAATCGCAGCAACCAATCAGAATCCACCGTGTGCAGGTGTGACCTCAGCCTATTGGTTGTCATGGGTTACTGCACAGCAGCTCATTAAAGAAATATATACAATGGGCTATGTATAATAGAAACAAATCACCGTCACTGTGTGTGCATGCAGCATGCTAGGTGGTGAAGCTGGCTTGTTGTGAATAACAACAGTTCTATCATATAAAGTCTATTCTGAGTATAAGCCGAGGGGGCCATTTTCACCTCAGCCTCTGTCCCACCTGGCTGCTAGATCGGTTCCTGCAGCTTCTTGTCCCTCAGTCTAAGCCTTGCTCAGGGGTGTGGACATTTTTGAAAAAACTACTTGGCCAAGGACTAAAGCGGGGGCCGAATCTACTTGTGCGCGCGAGCAGAAAGAAAATGCCGCCAATGCAGCTGTGCCGTCTGCCCGGTTTTTTCCAACGGGCGGACGGCAACTGGTTAAAGTATGTAAAGCCAAAACTTTTTTTTTCTTGGGTCAAGTAGAGAAAGGTTCAGGACAGTGAGTTAATACACGTATGTTACATGCATTCATGTGCGTTGTGTTACGGCAGCCCATTCATTATGAACAGACTGCCAACGCACCACAGCAGATGAAAATATACGTAAATGGCCCGGTTATGGCGACTCAGTGCACCAGAACGCTCTGTATTTTCACTGTGGTGTGCTCAGGTGCTCCTATGTACAATGTGCTGAGTTGCCATTTACATTAAATGACAGGGCACAAGCTGCTGCAACATACATGTAAACAGGCCCTGGATTCCCTTTACTTCCTAGCCTGTGGGGAAAGCTCAGCAAACTGTGGGAGTCCCCCTCTTAAGCTATCCAAACACCTAAGTGTGCGGCCAGGTTTTTACAGCTCTTACCACACTTGGGGGCCAATTTACAAATCTGCCTGTTCTCACGGCATTATCTAAGGGTCTGGCTGAACGCACAGAATCGCTACCTCCACAGGTTGTGATAGAATAAATCTTAGTAGAATTGAAGCAGCCAGGCAATGTGTATTTTTAGAAGGTCAGCAGTAACATTGTCCATATTCCTCTGGGTGCCGGATTCCTTGTTCATATTTTGATATTAGAAATGTAATGGCGAGAATGAGATCGGGAGGAATGAAAAGTGCTGGGCCAGCGTTTGTATTTATCTTGTCTCCGCAATGTCTTTCATTCTTCAGTGCTGGTGAGAGATGGATGGCGGCAGCGATGATGACGATGATGTTTCGCAGCTCTCCGTCCACACTTTAGCGGCTTTGCAGGAGTTTTATGCTGAGCAGGAGCAGCGGGAATCTTTGAAGGTTGGACCTGAGTATGACCAGTTCTCAGTCGGGGCAGTTGAAGAAGACTGGGTAAGAGAATCCTGTCTGTACAGGATAATGAGATCTATACATGACGGGTCATTTCCAGAGCCATGATTGGACAGTCTCATTTTACATGGCGCCTTGTGTGGGCAGTGTAACGTTACATTCACTCCAGCCTCCCTTGTGGGGTCTGTGTGGGGCCCTTCTATGCTAACCGCACACTAACTGCAAGGAGTTTGCATGTTCCCCTGTGCTTGTGCGGGTTTCCTTCCACACTCCAAATACATGCTGGAAGGTTAATTGGCTCCTCCCTAAGTTGGCCCTCTATGTATGCGTGTGAGATAGGGACCTTAGATTGTAAACTCCTTGAGGGCAGGGACTGATGTGAATGTGCAACTATGTAAAGCGCTGCGTAAAAATTGTCAGCGCTATATAAATACCTGTAATAAAAATTTAATAATAAAACACTCAGTTTTGGCTTGCATCCGGTGTCGGCTGGGTGGCAGCAATGTCTTGCGGTGTCTTGCGTTATGCATTATGTTATAACACAAGTCACTGCTGCTCTGTGTGCATTTTTTTAAACGGTAGTGTACATACCATTCAGGACTCCACACAGCAGTGTGGTGTACTACACTGCAGTGAAGGGGAAAGAGTGGTAAACTGAAGGAAAAAAAACACATACACCACAATGTTTTGGCAGTATAACATGTGACCATGTATTATTATATGTTACATACACACAGAACTCCATTTGCTTCATTTTTTAGTTCCTTTCTAAAATGCTGTAGAACAGCAGTATGTACAGCTAGCATTTCCAGATCATTTAAAAAGCTTTCAGCAATGTTCAAGCAGCTTTGTTGATTCCTTTAACTACCTCTGGGCCGGCCGTAGTAAAAAAACGGCTGGCCGGGAGCTCTCTCGATCTGAGCGCCCCCTGTAAATGCCCGATATTTACCGTGTTTCCCCGAAAATAAGACACTCTGTTATTTATTTTTTTGCACGAAATAAGACACTAGGTCGTATTTTCGGGGGATGTCTTACCTGGCTGGGGGAGGAGTGGACGAGGTCCCGGAAGGCGGCGTGCTGTTGACGGTCCCGGCAGGCGGCGTGCTGTTGACGGTCCCGGCGGATGTCGCTTCCATTGTGCGTGCGGGCGTGAGCTGCGGGCGTGTGGGCGGGGCAGGAGCTGCGGCCGGGTGGCGTGTGGGCGGGGCTGGAGCTGCGTGCGTGCGGGAGTGAGCTGCGGCCGGTGGGCGTGTGGGCGGG